TATCAATATATATTTTAAATTTGAAAATTGTGTTTGTATTCATCCCCCCCCTTCTACAAACTGTTTAGTATTCTTGTAGACCCTTTGGGACCAACAGCTTCCTAAATCTCCTAATGTAATTTCGAGTATGAGAGAATAAATAATCCTCACAACACAATCACTTTTCTTGTGAATCTTGATCTCATTTTCTTTCTTTTCTTTGAAAACTATGGGCTCCAATGGTTCAAAATGCATCCAATATGGTGTTTGCCTTGTTTTAAAGCAACAAGAATGCACATAACAGGGTTGTGAGGAGTTCCCATTTGATTAATTTAGGCCGTTTACCAAACGTTTATCCGGTAAGTGCTCACGGGCAAAAATCTACATTATCACTTACTTACTAGGTAAGATTTTAATCCACCAAAATGATATCAAATGCAACAACCCCGATTGCCACATCTTTTGGAGGTTTGAGTGAAAGAGAGGCTTGACGACGTTAAAATGGTAAACTGTTAATAAGTTGATTTTGATAAGTTAAGGAACGATGACTTATAAAAAACTGCTTATTACCGGTTTGACAAACAATTTTTATCTTCTCATCCAAACACTAGAAATTACTTATTACTGGTACCACACTGAAATAAGTCAATAAACATTTTAAATAAACAATCCCAAACACCTTCTTAGTACATAATGCTTTGAAAGTTGTTTTTAAAAGATTGGACCAAATGCATTATAATACAGCATAGAAGTATACATAGGCATAAAAGGCCCAATGGTGTGGCCTGCTGAGTGCTGGCCCATCCTCATTCCCTTAGGCCCTGATTTTATAATGGATTCACGTCTACAGATCCCCCGCTGCCGCCCCTTTCCACCATAGCTCCGCCTCTCACCGATGGTAGACTGTAAGTTTCATTGATTTTCATTCCCAGTTTCTTAGGAAATAACAAGAGTTATACGACATTTGAGCTCTCACTGTCTGCGCCAAATACTTCTCCTCTCTGAATGGAAGACGAAGTAGTCATAGCTTCTTCATCGACCGAAGCTGGAATTGGTTGCTGGGATCTTCGTTCCGGCGCAGAACACCTCCGGTACCGCTCATGCGCCTCTCCTTCTCACGGCCTTGTATCCGTCGCCGGACGCTTCCTCGCGTCCTCTCAGCTCCGTGATTCGTCATCATCCTCTGGCTCCGTTCTCTGTTGGTCGTGGAACAAGGTAAATGTTGAGTCATATAAATGTTTTGCCTCTATGTTTTGCATATTTTGCTCTCAGATGTCTTTAATGGCTTGTCTGGATTCTAATAGGAGTTCAAATATCCAACATTTACTTCTAGAGTTATAGTCTGTCAATTGCTCAAATGAAATTACTTGAGAAAAGCAAACTGTTATGTTCTGTATTCCAGAAAACTATATATGAATTTGATGTCAAATGCCTACCTTCCTCTTCAAATTAATATGTATTTGAACTCTTTGATGTTCAATAGAGACTGCAACATTATATTTCTCTAGAAGTAAAAATCTGAAGTTTGAAGTTTTCGGATTTCAAACTGTGTAATGAACAACTTGGCATTCACATAGAAAGCTCTTTAAAGATGTTTGATTACTACATTAAAATTTATAAGAAAATGATACAAATTGAGAATTGGTAATGTTAATGTAGTTCGTATAGATTTTACATTTTGGATGATGTCAAAATTGAATTCCAGAACCAAAGGATATCACATCCTTTTATGTTACAATTTTTTCTGTTGCAGCCTCAAATAGAAGTCAAGAGTTTTCCAGCTGAAGCAATCAATCCTCTTGCTTGTAATAGTGATGGCACTTACATAGTTGGAGGAGGAGTTTCTGGGGATATTTACTTGTGGGAGGTGAGTAATATACTCATTGATTTTTGTGCTGTCATATTGTAATTATTTGTAAAAATAAGTAGAGGGTTCTATTTTTTTTTCTCCTTTTTTGTTGTGTTAAGTGTTTGTGTGTGTTTTTCTAAGTTTATCTGATCTTGTCTTCAGACTATATTAAAAGGTGGTTATTTTTATTTACTGTATACACTTCATTGTAAGAAAAGGTAAGGTATTAAGATTATGATGCCTCGTTCCAGAAAGTATTGTCTGGATTGAACAACTTGGTGTTTACATATTAAATTTATCCACTTGTGCAAAAAATTTCTACACTGTGAATCTGTGATTGTTTTAAGAATTTGCTCTTATTAAGGACATTGTTTAAATTTGTTATTTTAGTCTGGCCTTGCTATTTTTATTTTATTTATTATAGGTCGCAACCGGTAGATTATTGAAGAAGTGGCATGGTCACTATAGGGCTGTTACTTGCTTGGTGTTTTCTGATGATCAGTCGCTTTTGATTTCTGGGGCTGAGGATGGATCAGTTCGAGTTTGGTCGCTTCTGATGTATCATTCATTTGCTTTTTTTATATTCATGAATTTTAATTTTCAGGTTTTATACAATGAACTAATAGGTAATACTTTTACATGTTGGAATTAGGATATTTGATGAGGAGCGACAACAGCGAGCGGGGCATCTTTATGAGTATAGTTTCTCTGAACATGCTTTGCCTGTAACTGATATTGTCACTGGCTATGGAGGATGTAATGCAATTATAATATCTGCTTCGCAGGATCGTACATGCAAGGTTTGTATTCCTCTTCAATCCTTAACATTCTTGTGCGTTTCTAGAGAAACATTTTCTACTCGACGAAAATTGTAGTCAAGCTGTCTCTTTACATTTAGGAATCTTTTTATTTTGTATTACTTAGAGCCTGTATGCTTGCCTGTTAAATATTATTGACAAATGTTAAAATTCTCCTGTTAGCGTTTTTGCTCTCATACATGGTATTTGATTATGGTTGTGCTTCTGTTTATGTCAAAGTGCGCGGTCTCTCAGTTACCTGAATCTCCGATCTATTGCATAAAGTTACAGGCAGTAGTCATCATAATCTTTAATGCATTTATAGGGTCATCAAATGTTTATAGGCTTCTACGCTTTTTCCTTAAGCATAATATACATCATTGTAGGTGTGGAGTCTAGCTAGGGGGACTTTGTTGAGAAATATCGTGTTCCCTTCAATGATCGATGCAATTGCTTTGGATCCTGGGGAGCATGTTTTCTATGCTGGTGGTAGAGATGGCAAGATATATATTGCAGAACTCAATGCTCAAGGCACATCTAACAACAATTATGGATTGCATATCATCGGTACATTGTCTGATCAAGGGTATGTCAACTTTTTTAGGATAAAGATTTTCTATCATTGTTGAATTCGTACAGGTCAAATGATCCAACCTTTTTCATCATTAAGTTTCCATTTTGCTGCAAGTCAGGATGGCCTTTTTTATCAAATGAAGTTTCGATATATACTTAAAATCTTGAATATTATGTTTATTTTCTGTGAGTAATCGCACATCAGAACCCCCTTACAAGACATGATAAACATGCTACTGCATAGCTACTTTATCATTTAGTATTGGTTTGTAACTCCTATATGCATGACTAATTGTCTAGATAAGTGAAGTTTCTTCTTAATCTTCAATTCTTAGACTGTTTATTTTCTAAATCGTTGCTTAATCTGGGTTTTCCTTACATTTAAGTACTTTAACTTATTATAAATGCATAACACTTGCTGTCTTAAGTTATTCACAATTTCACACCTACAACTTACTTCTTTTATCGTCACAAATATTAATATCTAGAATTCACGAGTCTTGTATCTTAACAATCTCTTTTATCCGAGTTTTCTTTATTTTTGAATACTTAGCATGTTCTTGTTATACATTGCACCTTCTTTTTGCAAACATTCACACTACAGCTTGCTTGTCTTCTATTGTTGCGAACATCCACACCCACAATTTACCAGTCTTGTCGTGATTAAACGATCGTTTGTATCTGGATATTTCTTTACCTTTGAATGCTTAGAATACTCTTGTTATAGATAGCACCTGCAATTTACCTTTCTTGTTTTGTTGCATTGGCAAAGGCTAAGGGTCATGTACAGCATTTTGATTTTTCATGTTGGTAAAATTTACTAGAACTCTCTATGGCAATTATTGGGATGGGGAATTTCTCTTTCTATCAGTCGTGTTTTTTATTTTCTCGCCCTCCTTTCTTATCTATTTTCATCCTACTAGTCGGATAGAAGCCTACCCACCTACCAGGTTTGGAACTCTACTGCGAGAGGGACGCCAAATCAAGCTTCGAAAATCTCCTGCGATTGTCTTTTTTGTATTCATATAAAATTTCTAAGAAACTCAAAGATAAAAAACTATTGACAATTGAGCTTTAGATTTATCTGGTCTCCTCCATGACTTTTTCCCCTTCCTTATTCTCTTATGCTTTGTCAGTCTTTGAAATTAGTGTTACGTTGTCACTGACTCACTGCTGAGTTGCAAGTAATGTGGATTTACTTAGGTGCTTTTTCTTTCCCTTAAGCATTTGACAATTGGTATATGGAGAGGTCAGCACCTTCCTTTTCGGTATATATTTTGCTCGGATTATAATCATCAAGAAATACTGCAGTTCTATTTTCTAGCAGATTAGCAGTGGAGTGTCCTATGTTGATGATTTATGAATTTTTTTGGAAAAACATCAAGAATTGTGTTTTTGCTGTCAATTGTGTATGTTAACAGTAAGGGCATATGCTCTTTGGCTTTTGCGCTGGATGGATCTCAATTGGTTGCTGGATCAGAGGATGGCATGGTTCGAGTCTGGGACACTAAGACCCATAATATCATTCGTGTTTTCAGACATGCAAAAGGTAATCTAACGGCATCAATTTTCCATTTTGAAATCCTTGATGTACCTTGTTCATAGCGTTTATACCATATATGCTTTTAAAAAGTTTATTCAAAGGCTTATTCCAGAGCCCTAGAGCGGGAAGCAGTTGGATATGAATCAGAAGGCTTGTAGTTCCAAAATTGCTATTTGGCACCTTTTCGTCTTCCCTCTACTATTAATGTTACCTGCTCTGCCCTGCCCTGCCATCATCATCATAATCACAATTATCATAAATAATTCCCGACCAGTCACATAATCATGTTTATGCTTCATATACTTCAACGTTATTGCGCACATAATGCATGTTTTCATCTTTTCAAGTTCATATTTAACTTTCTAATTAGAATGGCCAAAGTGTTATTCAATGTCATAATCAATTAAATAAAATATTGTTTTTTTCTAATGTCCTGTTTCTTGTTTCATCAGGTCCCGTTAACAATGTTCTTGTTATTCGACAGCCACCAGCCCTTTACCCTCGAACATCTGCAAATAATCAAGCTTCAGTGGCAAGAAGGCACGTGCCATTGCCACCTCCACTCGAGAAATACACATCAATAGACGAACACTCAGATCTTAATGCATTCATCACTCCTCAGCCCAATTGCGATAAGCTTTATGATGCGACGTACACCACTTTTCACTCAATGAACAACCAGATTAATGAACTTCAGGTCAGTGCTTTCTTGGCGAATATGTATGACCATTGCAAACTTTTAACATGAATGTGTTTTACACCATTAACAGTACTTCAATTTACAATAGCCACTCCAAAACAGGGTACCTTGGTCAAAAGCAAATAGAACATTTTCCATTTTTGGGAAGTTTTCAAGTTACAAGTACCTATTTGCTTATTATTTTGTCATGTATGTTAGACATTTGACAAATAACGAAAAGCTTTTGTTAACATTCCTTAATTTCATGGCAGGAAGGGAATATGTAATATAAAAACACATTTTGATCCACAAATATGCACTCACGTAACCCTTGTATCGCCTTCTCTTAATTATTCAAGTCCACCTATGTCATCTTAATGTACAAAATTTCCAGTATCATGCTTTTAGAAGCTTTTTTTTACCCAAGAAATTTCATATTTTTCATCAGCAACATGGTTCTTCTGGAGCTTCTGAATTGGAGATGGAAAGGCTGAAACTAGATTGCAAAAGGTCCATGCAAATGGTCGAGCAATGGAAGAAGATGTATGAAAATTTGCACCAATTTTGTGTTGGCGAGCTTCTGAATGGTGAAGCCGATGACGCCAACTTGACACTCACTTCATGATCATTCAACTTCCAAAAGATTTCAGGTTCTTTTACTCACAATCCTTTCATTTTATAGCAATTACATGTCAATCTATTTATTATCCATAATGCAGCTTAATTTTTCTATCTAGTTTATGATTTGATACCTTCTTCCCAAAAGTACATGAATTTAGTAGCATTCCCTCTTTTAATCTTAATTATTTTAATTTATTAGATCACGCAACTACACTTGTGTAATTCTTTTTTGGGTTTATATGTCAGATGATCTTATGGATGCATTTTATTTTGAGGTATAAGGTCTTCAGATATCTGTTGGAATTGATCCCCCAAAGGCCTTGTTGCTCATTAGTAACGGGTAAGTTGGTAATTGTTAATTTTGTGTGTTTTTACTGTCCTAAAAGGATGTCACATTTCATTTCTAAATTCATCTATTTGCTTGTCATGTTGGTAATTGTTAATTTCTGGTTTCTCAAATTTTGTTTTATGACGGTATTTTATATTATTAATTAAATTACATATATATCAAGGATATTTATAAATACTTTTTTCATGTAGAAAAACAAAATACTTAAGTAAAATCAAATGAATTATATAAATTTAAAAGCAAAAGCCATCTTTTTTTAGTATTTATAATTGTCATTTTAGAAAATAATAATAGTTTGTTGACAACAGAAACTGAAATATGATAATTTGAAAAAAGTTGAATCACAGATCACGATATTTGATCTATTAGGTTCTATTTGGTTTGCAGAATTTAACGAAATTGGAATGGTCAATTTCTTTGACCAAATTTCAATTCTTTTGTTTGATTCACATATTGAAATGGAATCTTTTGAATTCTACAAATTAAAAAAATGATCATTTCTTAGCATAAGTGGAGGATTTGAATTCCATCACCGTCCATCCCTTGTCCCCACCATGACCATGCTACTACTGTTATCGTCATGCCCCTAACCCCTACCACCACACCACTATTGTTGCCATCAGCCCACAACCGCCATCCACCTTACCCTAACCCCCAATCCACCATTGACCACCATGCCACTATTGTTGTCATTACACCCACCCACCTTAAACCCCCATCACCTGCCCCATATCCCTATTACGATCATGCTACTGTTGTCACTATTACGTCCCTACCCTAACCCTCCACCACCACACTACTACTGTCGTCATAATCAACCCAACCTAGCCCAACCCCCAACCCACCACTATGCTACTACTGTCGTCATCGCACCCACCTACCTCACCACCAGATCTTCGTCGCTTTGTCATCTCTCCGCATCTTGTTATTGCTCTTATGTTGTCCCTCTAGGTTGTATTTTTTTTCACGTCTCTTCTGTGTTTCCCTTTCCCCTTATCCACCAATCTCCTCCCTCTTCGTTCTTCACCGTGTAAACCACCATAAATTTCCATATTCCTTCTTCCTCCCTCTTCTTCGCATCTAATTCCGATGCACCATCTCCGCTATATGTTAAACATCCCTCAATACGGTTTGCTTATAATAGAAGGAATAGGTCACGTAAACTCAAGGATGAGGGGACCACAAGGAATGAAGATATGGTGTCACTTGATGGTTAGATAGTTTGTTAGGAAAGGGCAGTTCATGTAATCCTTATATGCTAGGTTGGGGGTCTAGCTATAAATAAGAGAGGGTGGAGTAGGTCTAGGCATGTAGAATTTACTCACTCTTGTAATAGGAGATCCTAGCTTCTCGAATTGCTAGATAACTTTCCTTTCCTTGTTTGTCAATCATTCAACCATAATAAATTCTTCCCACCATTTTGGTTTGTCCAGTTTGTAGAATTCAATTCTTAACAAATTGCTATCAGAGCGTTCAATCCCTGTTATGATTCCCCCTAGAGTGGAACCTGTAGTCCAATGAGTGGAAAGTGTGGAAGAGGAAGTAGCAGGAGTTAAGGCTTCATTGTTAGATTTACATCAGACGTTGCAGAAGCAACTTAGTGAACAGATGGATATCATAAATCAACGTTTCATGGAGATGAGAGCAGATAATTCCCAACGACGTTCTTCGGATAAGGAAGAGGTCTTATCTGATTCTAACAGATTTAATGGGGAATCGTCGCCGATTGGAAGCCCATATAATTTCAGAGGCAAAGGAGGATCAGGAACGCAAATAGGATGAACCAATTAGAGATTTTGTAAGTTGGATATCCCCTTATTTGACGGCAGTAATCCTGAGGGTGGATTATACGAGCCGAAGGATATTTCATATTTTATCATTTGAGTGAATCGGAGAAACTCGAGGCAATGGTTGTGGCGCTAAAAGGAGATGCTCTACTCTGATACCGATGGGAACACCGAAGGTGACTGATTAATCGGTGGGAGGAGATGAAGATGATGCTCCTTCGGCAATTCCGACTAACGAACGCTAGATCCTTATATGAACAATGGTTGGTGGTAGCCCAGGTTGGTGTCTTCATGGTCTGTAAATATGACGACAATTATAAAAGAAATTGAAGTCGACTCCTTTATCAAGCAGGTGGAAAGACCCACGTTGGATACTATATGGTGGACCAAGGGCGATTGATGTATAAGGAAGGGGCCGTTTACCAATTTTTTGGTCAAGTGCTGATTCGGGTAAGAGGTCTGACGGGAGTAAGTGCTAATTGTATTTTCTTGTTTACCAAACATTTTGTGATAAATGCTGATTGAGTAAAAAAGACCATTATATCCTTTTTTTTGGAATAGGTATTAATTGAAAATTATTGTATTATTTAAGCCCAATTATATTTGAATAAGATAAAAAAACATAGGCCCATATCAATCCAGATACATTTAAGCCCAATTATATTGATCTATATGTATTTCCACTCAAAAAACTCAAAAACCTATTTCTCTCTACCTGAAACCCTAGTTCCCTTATTTTCTCTCACACCTCCAGACCGGCTGCCGTCGCCGCCCTCCCGTCACATTGAACCGGACATGGCCACCGATGCTTCCCCACGTATTTCTCTTTGCCCAAAACCCCTGATTCTCTCTGCCACCCCCGACCGACCGCCGCTCGCCCTCCCGTCACCATCCAACCCCTTGAATTGGACATGGCCACCGACGTTGCCGACGTTCCTCTTCCCCATCTATTTCTCTTTGCCCAAAACCCTAGTTCTCTTGATTCTCTTTGCCACCCCCGACCCACAGAACTGGCCACCGCTCTCCTCTCGTCACCGTCCAACACCTTGAATCGGACATGACCCACCTGTTTGTATGAAGAAAGACGCATCTATTTAGGGTTTTAGATGAAGAGAGTAGATTAGGAATACATACCTTATGCTGTTAATATCGGCGATATATCGGCGATATATCGGATATCGGACCTAGGCAAAATATCGCTGCATAAATATCGGTCAAAATATCGTCCCCGATATTATCGGCGATATTTTTCTATTTTTCCCGATATTTAGTGATATTTTGATGTATATATTGGACCGATATATCGATTTTTTAGGGTTCAATTATTTGAGTTTTTGTTATTTCATAGACTTAGTTTTTTGGGCTTGGTAGCATATATTATTAGGTCAGAAATTAATAGTCTGTCTTCCAATGGTCTTCTTCCTTTCTTTTCATCTTTACGAGTTACGACTTCACACTTCACAAACACCTAGTTCACTTCACGAATCACGACTTCAGACTTCTCACAACTTTAGACTTCTCACGGAGTTACGGTTTGGCTTCTTTTCTCGGATGCCGAACCTATTGCTTGCGATTAGCTCCTTTTTGAACACTTTAGATGATGTGATGTTTTAATTTTGAAACTATATTTCTAAACTCTAATTAATGCATATTATATATATAATTCTAAGAAATATTATGTTAACCACTATTTTGGACCGATATATCACCGATATAGCCGACATATCGATCATGACCGATTGTTTGTATATAGACCGATGTAACAACATAACATATACCTCTTACCATGGTAAGATTCATTTCTTTTGCTACTCCAGTAAGAGGACGGTCAGAGGCCGAAAATCTGATTGTTGATTTTGCTGTTAGGTAAACACTTTTACCTCTTACTCGGGTAAGCATCTCTTAACGGGTAAGAGGTGGTAAGAGATTAGTAAACATTCCTGAAGATTGATAATCGCTCATAACTCTTCTTTCATTCCTAGAGTAATTACAAGAGTATCACGATTCAGTGATCGATGGACACTTAAGAGAGTTTCAGACATACCAACGGTTGGCATTCAGATGGTTTCGGGTCGGAATGAGACAGGTTGTCCAACGTTATGTTTAGGCCTGCGGGACTCCTTCAGCCCTTACCCATACCTTTTGAAGTTTAGGACGATCTGACCATGGATTTCATAGAAGGTTTGCCATGTTCTAACGAATTTGACAACATCTTGGTTGTCGTGGATCGACTGACCAAATATGCTTATTCCTTAGCACTAAAGCATCCGTTTAATGCAACTTCGATTGCGACACTTTTTGTCAAAGAGGTGGTTCGACTCCATGGATTTCCATCTACTATCGTTCTCGGACCGGGGAACAGTCTTTATGAGCATTTTCTAGCGAGAACTATTTAGCCTTCAGGGCACCACACTTCTACAGAGTACAACATACCATCCCAAACTGATGGGCAACCGGAGATCGTTAACAAGATTGTCGAAACTTACCTTCAATGCTTCATTCAGGGTGTTCCCCGAAAATGGGTACAATGGTTGCCTTGGGCTGAATTTTGGAATAACACGTAATATCATGTCTCTACAAAATGTACACCATTTAAGGCGCTCTATGGTCAAGATGCACCCCGATTGGTTAAGGTTCAGCAAGGCAACACTGGGGTTTCTTCCTTAGAAGAAAGGTTGTTAGAACGAGATGCCATATTGGATGAACTGTGTGGCCATCTCTTACAAGCTCAACAACACACGAAACACTTGGTGGATAAGAAGCGCAAGGCTGTTACCTTTGAATTGGAAGATTGGTTGTACTTGAAATTACAACCCTATCGATAGAAGTCATTGGCTAATAGACCTTCTCAGAAGTTGGCCGCACGTTACTATAGGCCATTTAAAAGCATACAACATATCGGTGAAGTTGCTTACAAGCTGCAGCTTCTTGAATCAGCTCATATACACCTGGTATTCTACGTATCTCCGCTCAAGAAAGCGACTGGAGAACGGCAGACCTCTCCATCATTACCCCACGAATTACCGAGGATTTGGAATTGGAAATCGAACCAGAGGGCTTACTGGGAGTTCGCTCTAAAGAGACGATAGAGTGCAACGGGTTGAGGCTTTGATCAAGTGGGAGAGCCTGTAGACTTTGAAGCCACTTGTTAGGATTTCACAACCATTCAACACAATTTTCCTCATTTCCACCTTGAGGACAAGGTGAATCTTTGGGAGTGGGGGTAATTTTAATCATCCTCCAATACGTAAACTCAAGGAATGTATAGTGTGAGTAGATGGGTAGATAGTT